CGGAATACGAGCCGATAGTCTTTAGCTGCTACGGCCGCCTCGGACAAACAATAGACTAGGGTGAAGTAGAGTTGAGTAGAGTAGAGTAGAGTAGAACAGAGTAGGGTAGGGGGGTAGGTGGCAGAGGAAAGTCGGGCATCGCAGCTTACAAAAGAGCGCAGTACGCCAGAGTAGCTGAAAGAAGAGTAGAGTAGAGTATCTAAGAATAGGAACAGAGCGGAGTAGAGCAGCGTAGTGTAAAGTAGGTTGGGGCAGGGTAGGGTAGAGTAGAGTAGTGTAGAGTAGAACAACGTAGAGGATAGTAGGGTAGATTGTCGAGTAGAGTGGGTAGAATGGAGCAGACTTGAGCCAAGTGGGAAAACGCGAGTACATGGTATACGAGACTACAGTGGAGCAGAGTGGGAGTAGACTCGAGTGGTGTAGTGCAGGCCTGTTCGGGGTGTGATCCGGCTTGCGGCCGGGAGCTTTCGCTTGGCGCGTCGCGGCGGCGGCCGCTGCGACACGCCACGCCCTCCGAGCGGACAGCGTGCCGCTCCGCTCCGCGTGGCGGGTTGGCAGGGAGAGCCCCGGACGCTGACGTTCGCGGCCTTGGACGTGGTCGGCGCGTCGCGCCGAAGCGGAGGAGGAGGAGGAGGAGGAGGAGGAGGAGGAGGAGGAGGAGGAGGAGGAGGAGGAGGTGGAGGAGGAGGAGGAGGAGAAGGGTGTGGGCCAGGCGACTGGCTGTATCGTTGCCCCGAAGCCCCGCCTTCGCCGAGGACCGCGCAGCGCAGCGGTTTTTGGGGGTAATTGCTCGGGTCTCCGCTGGAACGCCCTCGGCCAGGCGCAGCCGCTGGATGGCATCCCGAGGCAGGACAGCCGCCGAGAACTCGCGAGCACGCCCAAGACCTCGAACCCGACCCCGAGGCGTCCCTGACCTTCACGGCCCCGTCCTCGGGGCCCCGAGCTCCAGTTTTCCCAGCTTTCGCCCCCCTCCCCTCCCCCCTCTTCCGGCAGCGCCGACGTCGAGTATTTGTGCCCGCGCGCATAGCACGTCCACACCCGCCGCCCCCCGCAGGGTCCCTGGGCATCGCCTCCCTGGGCGGTCATTGTGTGCAACCCCGCATTGCAGCAGCGATGGGGGCGCTCAAGTGGGCCGCGGGGGTCGCAGGACGGGCCGTCGGCGGGCCGCGGGCGGGTCGCGAGCTTCGTGCCCGATCGGGTTGTACCGAATTGTAATTGCCGTCCATCCTGTCGCGTTGAGGGAGTCTTCCTCCTCCTCCTCCTCCTCCTTCTCCTCCTCCTCCTCCTCCTCCTCCTCCTCCTCCTCCATGTCTCTGACAATTCTCTGGCGCTGTTGGACCCCTCTGAGCCTGCGGAGGGCGGGGTCGGGACGCGCGCGAGGATGTCGTGCACGCAGGGTGCCGGAGAGAGGGCCCGTCGCCCCTCAAGAGGGGAGGAGGGCTCGGCCCGTCCTCCTCGGCAGGGGAGGCCGGCGGGCAAGGCCAGGGCAGGCCGGCGGGGGTCCGCCGAGGGCTGCTCCGCCCGTCGGTCCGAAGAGGAGCTGCACGGCCGGGGCTGCTCCGCCGGCGAGGTCGCCGGGCGTGCCATGCGAGGCTCAGAGAGAGCCTGGTGATCTGCAGCGGTGATCACTTGGTGCGGCCTTCCTATCATTAGACCAGAACAGGGCTGCTCCGCCAGCGGATGCCGGCGGATTGTAAAAGTCGCGCCCCCCAAGTCTCCCCGCACGCGTGTTGGTCCTCGCCCGCCGGTGTTCAGACCCCTGCCTGCGCGGCAAACAGCCTCTGCTGCCCAGATCGGGATGGCGCTAGGGTGCGTCCTTCCATGGATTACCTGTTTTCTGCCCGCGGAGGTAACGCGCCAAGTGCGTGGTGACGCGTCATTCCCTTAGCCTTTCTCCTCCTTCTCCCAGATATGTGCGCTAGGGGAAGACAGACATAAGCAATCGGCTTTGCGCTGGGCTCCCGTTGTGGGCCCCGGGTGGTGGGCCTATGGCCATGGGTTACCTTTTTTGCTGCGGTCTTTGGCCATCCTGAGTAAGATCAGGAGGGGGAAAAAACACACAGACACAATGAATCGTCGATCCCCAGGAAAAATATGGGAAAACATGGGAAGTGGGGGGGAAGACAAAAACCCATAACATATGGGAAACTATATGGGGAATCCTGTTAGTTGTGTGTATTTGTGTGTGTGTGTGTGTGTCCTAGGGCCCCTTCGTAAGATGATATCCTTGTCCTGGTCGGGCCGCACGCCTCTGCTGTGCTCCGGCGCCCTGCGTCCACGACAGGCTTCCCTCGCCTGCAGTGCAGTTTCTGAGGGCATGGCGGGGCGGGAGTCGTGATAGTTTTGTCGAGGACGATCAATGGAGAGGAATCATGTTGCCAAACAATTTCCACATGTCATAATAATCGGTTCAAACTGTTAAAACATGTTGAAAAACAGGTTTAAGGCATTTCCAGTACATTTTTCTTTTGACACATTCTTAATTCAATGATAGGACTGTTAGGATGTCCAGTGTCGTGGCATCCACAATGATAGCTCGTGGGTAGGTCCAGTCAGGGCCAAGCTCGATCCGAACGATGCAGTTCGATGTTGATCTCGGCCGGCCTGATCCGATCCGATTCCCACCTGCCGGCTGTCCGATGCGCCCCGATGCTTGCAATTGGGCTGCTGTGCATCGTGGCGCGGCCGATCCGATCTGATTTGAAATCCGTACCGATGGGGCCCGACCCGATTCACATTGCGATCCGATTCGATTTCGCGATTCGATGCTGGCTGCTCCCAGAAGGAGGACCATTTCGCTTCCTGTTTTCAGTATTAACAAAACTGGTGGTATTGCAAGCGTGCTTTTGCTTCCCCACGAGATGCGTTTGAACGCTGGTGCCGTGAGGCCGCGCAGTAGCCATTTTGGCCTTAAGGGAACACATTTGATATTGACTGGGCTCCACTCGAACCGAAAGTCCTTATGTGTAACCCCTTGACTGAACACTCTTGTACACAGGTGACCTAGGATCACGATGATAAGTGAGCGTATATGGATCGTTCTGATCACTTTTGCAATCGCTCGCAGAGTTGGTGCGGATTTGCAGCTCACGCAAGTGTCTATGCGTAGTCCTGCGAACGGTGGTTCTGTTGGAGAGCTACGTGCGGGCTGCCATACATCCGTCGAGGGCGACGAGTGCTTCGGAGAGGTGGTGTATGCCATGCAGACAGGCGTCGTCAAGCATCCAGAGCGGTACTCTCCCTTGGCTCAGGATTCTACCTTCGAGGATTTCCAGCGGTATCTCCACCGCTTACCTGCGCTCTCCAAGGTGTGCCCCGAGCCTTGTGCAGCGCATGAATTGGACGTCCGAGTGCCAGCGCGGTTACGGGCACCGGATGACTGCCACACATCCGTCGAGGGCGATGCGTGCTACGAGAGGGTTGTGTATGCGATGCAGACTGGCGTCGTCGAGAATGCAGAGTGGTACTCTCCATTGACCAAGAACTCCAGCTTTGTTGACTTCCAGCGGCACCTCCACGGCGTGGCCTGGCTTTCCGACGTGTGCCCCGAGCCTTGCGCAGCGCAGGCAGTGGACGTCCCGGTGCCAGCGCTGACCGCGACACAGGAGGGTTGCCACACTCCCGTCGAGGGTGACCCATGCTACGAGGAGGTGCTGTATGTGATGCAGACTGATGTGGTGAGGCACCCAAAGCGGTATCGGAAGTTGACAGAGTTCTCAAGTTTTGAGGACTTCCAGCGGCGTCTGCACAGTGTTTCCAAGGTGTGCCCCGAGCCTTGCGCAGCGCAGGCAGAGCGGGTCCCGGTGGCAGCGCTCGACTCTGAATTAAAGTTTGTTTGGCAATTGGAGGACTGCCGCACGGGAGGCGTTGCGGCTTGCCTCGGCGTGCTGCGTGCGCACTCGAGCAGGTTGCTTTTGCCCAGAGCGCTTCGCGGTCGTTCACAGCCGTAGTGGCACGGACCTTCCTATACAAATTGATGAAAATCTCAGCCTTGAATATGGAACGAGGTGGCGCAAGCCTTTTGAACTCTGCGCGGCCTGCTGGTCGGGGCTATGCCGCCCAGCATAATACCGAATTTTGTGTGTTCGCTTTGTGCTCAGGAGGGGAAAAAGCATAGTCACAATGAATCGTCGATTCCCCAGAAAATCTGGGAAAATTCGGAGACGTTGAGGGGATACGAAGCCCAGAACACGTGGGAACATACGGGGAATCTCATGGGACTTGTGTGTGTATTTTATTTGTGTGTGCTTGGGCCCCTGCATGTGCCAAGGGTCCCCAGGAGTGGTCGGGGAGTGGCCGGGCCGCGCAAAAGAAGGGGCCTGCCGCGAGAAGATGGGCGAGGGATAGCGCCTGTTGAGGAAGGAGGAGGAGGAGTAGGAGGAGGAGGATGAGGAGGAGCAGGAGGAGGAGGAAGAGGAGGAGGAGGAGGAGGAGAGAGGGACCCTGACACCCTCGCGTCGTGAGAACAGTCAGCGGCGGTCTGTTGTCCGCAACTTTCGGCACCCGTGGGCCTCCACCTGGGCCAGGGGCCATCGCAAAAAAGCGACTCGGGATGAGAAGCTTGTTCCTGAAAGGGAGTCCAAACCTCTTGGGAGTTGCGCTGTGAAGCATTCAGGACGTCGTATGTCTGGGGAACACAAGGGGAGCAAGCGGGCAAGGTTGTGAGAGGCGGGGGGAGAAGATGGCAGGAAAGGGGGGAGGAGCAGCGGAGGTGATGGAAGATGGATGGGAGGGGGGAGAGGGGACGAGATGGAGGGGGAGGGGGGCCGTAGTAGCAGTAAAAGTAATGGTCGTAATCGCAGCAGCAGCAGCAGCAACAGCAGCAGCAGCAGCAGCAGCAGCAGTAGTAGTAGTAGTAGTAGTAGTAGTAGTAGTATCAGTAGTAGTAGTAGTAGTAGTAGTAGTAATAATAGTCGTAGTAGTAGTACTAGTAGTAGTAGTAGTAGTAGTAGTAGTAGTAGTAGTGGTAGTGGTAGTGGTAGGAGTAGTAGTAGTCGTAG